TTTTTTTAATTAATTGATTTCGTGATCGATGAAATCGTTGAAACAAATCAAATAGAAAAAAAATTAATGGAAAAATGAAAAGAATATTGTGCGACAAATATGTGATTAGATTTGTAATGAATAACGCGAAAACAAACATTGAAAAAAGTTAACATCTTATAAATGTATAATTAATATAATAATTAATCAGCGTGATGAAACTTTTTATGATTATCCAAAGTAACTTGACCTTTGAAATATTTGTCACAATCCTCGCAATAAAAACGTAATTTGTTTTCGTGACACTTCAAATGTTTGTTAAGAAGATCCTTTCTGGCAAATGTCTTTTCACATGACGTGCATGGAAACTTATCAGGATTCACGTGAAACGTATTATGACGCGTTAGATTGTCCATTCTAGTGTATTTTTTCGTACAAATGTCGCACGTAAATTTGTTCTTTTCCAAATGTGATTTTTGATGATGACGCAAATACTTCTTACGTGAAAATATTCTTTTACATGCGCAACACGTTATTTCTGTAGTAGTAGTAGTAGTAGTAGTTGTTGTTTCTGAATTAATCTTACCATCCATGTGTTCGCTCAAAATTAAATAATTGGAAAATTCCTCATGACAAAATGGACAAATTGGTTTTTTCGGTTGCAATTGTTGTTGCCTCTGTTGTTGTTGTTGTTGTTGTTGTTCCAATTGTTTTTGTTGCTGTTGTTGTTGCAACTGTTGTTTCTTATTTTTTTGTATATTTTCTAAAAAGGTCGGATCTGTCATGATTTTATAAAGAAACGTGTCTTTCAATTTGTCAGCAGGATCTATCGATGATTGATGATACGTCGTCGTTGATTCGTCAACGTTTTTATCCAAACTTTCTTTCTGTTCCTCAACAATATCACTTTCTTTAACTTTAACTTTGGTTACCGATTGAAGATTACAATCACGAATTGATAAATCTATTACTTCTAAATTATTTTTATTATCGTCTATGGGATATGATTTTGATTCTTCTATGGTATACCATTTGAAACATTTGCAGGTCGATGGTCCAGCAACTGCATCCACGAAAAATTTCTCCTTTTCCTTCTAAAATATATATATATATATTTTTTTTTTAATTAATCAATTCAACCAAAAAATAAGATCAATTAATTTTACGTACATAAATCAACTTCAAATATTATTATTAAATATTAAAAATTAGAAAAAGATATTAAATTATAATTGACAATAATCAAAAAAAAAATAATGAAATTAAACTGATGGAAAGAACTGTCAAAATTTGCGAACTAATTTGAACTTTTGTCTCTTAAAATGAAATATGTAGAAAAACATTGACGCCTGTGTGTATGTGTTTGAGTTGGACGTTTACATCGATAATGTGAAACGTGTACAAGTTTCTTATAAACGTATATCATTGAAAGGACACCAATATAACCTTACATATATATATATATTTATAGACGTTTAATAAGGTGAATCTAAAATCGTATAAAGTAATATAAACCTGTGTTATAGCTGTCAAACGAAATTTCAATCCTACCTCTCTCAATTCTGTTACGTCTTTCATTATTAACGAATTATTAGAAATAACTTTTTCCTCATGGTGATTATTATTAATATTATTGTTATCCTTTTTATTCAATGTATTAGAATTTTCCGTGTTTGATGCGGTAGCACCTATGTCATTTTGAACGATCATGTGTCTCGGTACAGTTTTCACTCTCATCTTAATTAATATATATTTTTTTTTCTTATCTATTTAATTCAACGTAAACGTTATGTTATTACATAAAACAATATATAAAAATATAATTATTTATAATAATAATAATAATAATAATTTTTAATAAAAATTAAATGTTACCTTGATGAATCCGAAACTATCGTTCGTTTTTTGTTGAAAAAACTTTTATGCAAAGATGAAAAATCTTCAACTGAAAGTTATGTTTTTGTTGTTATTTTCTATTAATTATTATTCACACACTTAAAGATATATTTTAATTATGATGCACCATTTAATGAATATTTTAACGTAATAAATATAATATAATATTTAATAATTATTCCGATAATAATGTAATCATATTGTTAAGTGTTATTATTCGTGATAAATAAGATAGGAAATATAAGAAGACCCATCGACACGACTGACGAAGATCAACTGACATTCCATACTTGACTTATGATGTCCTTCGTTTCAAATGACAACAAAGATCTTTCCGAATTCAATGTCCTTATTGATATGAGGTTATTTATCAAAGAGATTATTTACTTTTTCTGTAACGCTCTCGTATACCTGTATATACACGTTCCTGTTTTGTCTACACAATACATACACACTATGCTATATATAATAAGTAAGTTTGTATATGTACATACATGTATGTTTATATGTTTGTATGTGTATACACTGAGGAATATACTGTGTGTATATTATAATAGTATATATCAGACATAATATTACTTTATTCTCTTTTCTGTTCACACACACAAAAAAAAAAAAGATTCAACAATATTTTCAATATTGATTTATATATTAATGTAATATAAATAAATGCAATTATGTTTAAAGTTTAGTATTTTTATTTTTATTTTTATTAATAATTGATGATTCAGTTTTAAGGATTTTTCTTTAAAAATAATAATTAGTATTTTATATATATATATATATATATATATTTTTTTTTAATTTTTGTTATGATGATTAACAAATTTGTTTTTTCTTCAAAATTAACTTTATTACAATATTTTTTATAATATTTTATTTATAATAATTATTATTCACTTAATTAATTAAATACCAAAAATAATTTTATTATAATATTTATTATAATATTATAATTAATATATAATATTATTTACTTAAATAATTAAATACCAACTTATCCCATAATTATTAGAACACCGCACATATTAGCTAATAAAACTAAAAAAAAAATAAATAACAAAATCAAACATAAGAATAATTTCAAAATATTTCACACACAAAAAATAAATAAATTATACAAGTTTTGATAAAAAAAAAAAAAAAGGAAAAAAGGTTTGATAATAAAGAATTGGTATGGGTGTGGTCTTTGATAATTTTTATTTTTTTTTTTTTTATTTTTTCGGAGGAAGTGAGTTTGGTCTTTTTTTTCCACCATTTGTCCCCCAGTATTTTTTCTTTCTATTTTCATTTGGTCGTTAATACGGCATAAGAAGAAGAGGTATGGGGGTTAAAGCGAGGGTTCAAGCAAGGATTTTTAATTGTAGTTCACTCGGTATAAGCTTTTAGCTCGTGCCTTAGCCAGCAACCGTAGTAGCACCAGTACCAGTACCAGTACCAACGCACCAGTACCAGTATCAGCAATAGGAGCAAAAGCAGAAGCAGTAGCAGTCGGTATTGTCATACCGAGCACCGCTTTTCTTTATTTCCCCAGTGGCTGGATGAGGTTATACATTTTTTTTTAACTACGGCAATGCCTCCGTCTTCTTATTAGCAAAGCTAATTGGAAATACAAATGGTTATTCACGGTAGTAAGATGGAAGGTCGCTGCGCGAGAAGATCGGTGCTCCTGAAGTTAGGGAAAAAGAAAAAGAAAAAGAGAAACGAAACGAAACGAAACAGAAAAGAAAGAAAAGAAAAGACAAGAAAAAAAGAAATAAAAATAAAAATGAATGAGTGAATGTGAGACAGATAGATAGATAGATAGATGGACAGACAGACAGGCAGACAGACAGACAGAAAGAAGGAAGATCAGTGAGGTAAGGGTGGAGAGGAGGGGTTGCTGCTGCTACTACTGCTGCTGCTTGGCGCACACTTGTGCGTATTAAGCTTGTATTTGCCCCGGATAATTAGGACTTTTTTCCCGGCCAATTCGAATGAATAATTGATTTTCTTCTTTCCCGTAGTCGTACCTAAACGAAAGTCCGAATACCCGTCGACTCTTCCAATGACAATCACACAAAAAATAAGAAAAAAAGCACAAGACGACGAAGAAGAAGATGATAAAGAGAAGAAGAAAGGAAAGGGGATGTAAAAATAAAACGAACGTGAAAAAACGAACTCAAAAAGATAAAGTAGAATCTTTAATATGAAATATTCAATGCAAAACCCCATACCCAAACTACCCCATCTCAATCGTGTTGTTGATGATGCATCTGTATTGGGGTGTGTTCTGAAAAGGTTCTTATTCGAATGTTGTTCAAGTATTATTGTTCTTAATAATAATTTAATTGGAAATCAATAAAGGTTAGTTTTAATTTTACTGTTGTTCGATAACATGCCAGTCAAAATCTTCAAAAAAAAAAAAAAAATACTAGTATTAGTAACAGTTTTAGTAGTAGTAGTAGTAGTAGTAGTAGTAGTAGTAATCCTCTAAGGAACAACCTTTTTTCTGTTTCCTTTCCTTTTCTATTTTCTTCTCTCTCTCTCTCTCTCTCTCTTTAACTTCGTCGCGAAAAGAAAAGAAAAAAAAAAAGAAAGAAAAAAAGAGAAAAATGTAAAAGTGCCCGCGGCGGACCTGCTAACTTTTTTTCATCAGCATTTTACGGTTATACCCGAGCATTAATAATGCACATGCTTAATATAAAGGAGAGAAGCAAGCCCGCGAGTCTTCGTCTAATAAACTGGAAGAATGCTTTATAACCAGGCCGCGGTTTCGGCACGAGAAGGTAGTTCGAAGAACGAAGAGGAGTTACGAAAAGGGGGTAGGAAAGAAGAACTGTCGAAGAAGGGTGATGCTAGTGGTGGTGGTGGTTGCTTCCTTCGTTCCTTTATATCCCACAAAATAGCCAATCTTTCCACAGCTCGCGTCGAAGGAAAGTGGCCAAACTTCTTCAGACGCAACTAGACGGTGAACTCGTTCTGCAAAATTTTCTCTTTCATCTAACCGCCCCACCCCACAACCCCCATATTCTCTCCTACTCCCTTCCAATCCACCGTTTTTAACATTAACCAACACCACCCCTTTTTTTTTACCGATGGAATATTATCATGGATCTTCATACCAAAATACTTTGATGAAACTAATCGTGAAAGGGGTAATATTTTTTTAAATAATTTTCTACCCTTATATATATATATATATATATTTTTTGGTTAATTAATTTTGTAATTTGTCGTGCATTTAGGTATAATTTTCAAGTAATATTTTATTATTATATTTATTTGAAATATTATACTTGAAATGTAAGCAAAAATTAATTGCATTATTTAAGATAACCTAAATATGTGTCATTTAATAAAAATTATGTCATCCCTTTGAATAATAAATAAAATCAAAATACGTGTATTGATTTAATCAAATGAATTATTTCGTTCATCATACAAAACAAAATGAAGAATAAGAAAACGATGGATGAGGAGGAGAAGAAAGGTGGAAGAGGGGTGTTAGAGTTTGGTGGTGCGAGATAGAATAGGTGAGAGTGTAATGTTTTCTTTTTTCTTCTTTCTTTTTGAAAAATATGAGTTTAATAAAGAAGGAAAGTATGATGTATGGGCCTCGTGCCAAGGGAAAAAAGAACGAACCAGGATCAACCGACTTCGATACACAGATATTGTATACGTAATATAAGTAGATGGTAGTAGAGAAGGGGAGAGGAAAAAGAATACTGTGTGATGTACTGGGTGTCGAAAAGTCTCGTGGGACGTTCGACGGCCTTTTCATGCTCGAACAAAATTGCCATAAGTTTTTATTAAACCAACCAAAGAGGACGACGAAACTTGATAACTGCGTATCTTCTTTTATTTATTTTTTTTTTTTTTTTTACTTTTTCCTTTAACCCCCTCCCAATCTACCCTTATTATCTTTTTTTTCGGTCTAATCTCGAATGCATTTCAGTATACAAAAAAATCATCTAAGCCTTTGCATTCATCTCGGTTTTGTAATCTGTGTGTGTGTTTTTTTTTCTTTCTTTTTTCATAAAATATGATTTTCGTTTGAACTTAAAGTAAGAAATTTTTTAATAATTATTAAATAGAATTATTGATTATTTTTATTATTAATTTAGAAACAATTCTATCTTATTTAACAAAATATAATATACGTTTGAATAGAAACAAATCCTCTTTCGTTTAATATTCATTCACATTAAATATCTCTCATTGAAATCTTAAATTCTCTGTTAAGATTAATACCCATAGAAATATAATATTTCTATGGAAATTTTGTGACACCCTCGACAAATAGGAAGATAGTAGAATGACCTAACTTTCAATGAAGTTCTCGAAGTACAAGAGAATAAAATATCTTTGAGTTATCTTCCAATATCCATTTCAACCCCCCTTTAAAAAGTATTCAAATAAATATCAAGAAAAATAATCAAAGTATACATACATCTACATACAATAAAGAAAACTACTAGATACACACATTCATAAATATTTGTCTGTGTGTGTGTGTGTTTAATAAACTAAAATATAATCTAATTATTATTTCAATAAGGATAAGACATCATCAATGTTAGTTTAATGCAACTAAGGCGTCATCTCGATCTTATTTATCACACGTGTTGCCAAAGTCGAAGTACAGGCATCTCTCTCACCCTTTAAACTCACCCCCCTTTTTACCCTCCTTACGCTTTACTCCGTCAATAGCGCTTCTTAGCTTATGCATAAAGCTCTTTCCTCGTGGCTCACTTCCGAAACTTCCCAGCTCGATCTTTCCTATCCTCCTCCCATGGTTCAGCTCTCGCGATTTCCAAGCACCCTCCGACGTCTTCTCTGGAGGTTTTATCGAGACTTCAACCCCTTCTTCGACCGGTAGTAGTAACAGGGCGTATTTCACGTTCCTTCGTTCGGTTCGTTCGGTTCGTTCGTTCGTTCGTTCGTTCGTTCGTTTGCGAGTGTTTCCGCCAGGATGTATCTCGAAATCTATACGAAAGGTGGTGGGTTTGTAGGGGGTGGTAGCGAGGGGTTGAATCCGAGGAAGAGACTCGATGCCGATGCGGAGGGCAGGGTGGTTCGAGAGAAGGGTGAGCCCCGTCACATTTCACTACAGACTAATAACTTCTGAATATTCATTTCGTGTTTCTCCTTGCCTGCTTGCGAACCCGTAAGCAAAGCTAATGCGACGCTCACAACGCGTGCCATAACAGATTCGAGAAGGTATCTTGTGATTGTTTGCTAGCTGCTAACACCCCCTACAATCTACCTCCCCTCCCAACCCCCATAAACCTTCAAGCATTGATTTAACATTTTAACTTAACCCCTTTCTATTTTACATCACCCATTTCATCCATTCTTTTATCATTGTTTAATTTTCTTTTACTTATCGTTGCAATTATTTGATATTTATTGTTGTATCAGAAATTATAATTATTTATGGTTTTTTTTAATAATTTTATTAATATTTGTAAGTTTTGTTTAGAACAATTTTATGTGATCTGAGTGTAAGAATTTTTCTAAGGGTTGCATCTGTTTCATTTTTTAATGATTGGTTTATTAGATGAATTTCATGTTGGAATTTTTGATTGTTCAATGTTTAAATATTTTAAATAATTTGTTATTTAGTTATAATTATAGGGAAGTTAATGTTTACGAAGTCAAATTTTTCGTAGATTCGATTTAGTGTGAAAAGAGCTTAAGAGGTACGTATTTTCCTTCATCGAAGCGAGAAAAACGGAGCAGCAAGGGAAGCAAGGGAAAACTGAGAGACAGTCTCCATGGTAACTATGAATTAAGTAATCAATGAATTATTATTGACATTGATGTCAGTTCTCTTCTTCTCCCATTTCTCCATCTTTCTATCTTTATCTTTTATTTTCTACCTTATATACCTTAGCAAGTTACTTAGATAGCATTTTAATATATTCACGTTTTCGATATTAAGAGAAATGAGTTTGATTTTGTTACATGAAATTATTAATGGATAATATTTTATTGCATTTGTTTTTTTGTACTTGGATCTTACGATGGAAAAACATACGAAATTTTTTTGTCATTGGTAATTCGATAGGATTTCTCGTAGAAAATACGATAGAAATAAAAGAAAGATATCTCTGATATGGGGGTAAGGGGGGGGGGGAGTTTACGTTGAAGGAAAAAGAAATGTTCATGGACCAATTGAAGGGACATTGTGCCAACTTCAATTTCGCGATGTCTAACACAAATTAACTTGGACGATATTTCACCCTCCTGCAACACATAGACACACATACAAACTTCGAAGTATTTTCTATTATTGTCTGAAACGATATCTAACAAAATGGTAAAAATAAAATAATACTTTCAATCAAATATTTATTAAATTAAATCAAATAATTAATTATAAATATTTCTATGATGTAAAAACAATTCCTGATGAAGAATTTCAATCAGATAAACTCACCCTGTCTCTAAAGTAAAATATTTTAAATTAAATTAAATTAATTTTGATGACAAAAAAACGTGGTCATTTTTTGATGTATT